CACACGCAGAAAGCCGACCGCTCAGCTACTGCTAATACTCACAGCGTCGACAGACAGAACCGTGCGAGCGGGTTTCAGCGCGCTATAAAGGCACGGCTATCACAGGAGCTTCTCCTTCAGTCTGAGCTGATGTTTAGTGGGTTTGTGGGGTTCTCTCACCTTTCCTGTACGCGCCGGGAACGCTGTCAGCTTTAGTTCGCACCATCGCGCGGTTTCTGCGAGTGAACGCCGGACAGCACCGCTCGCCTCAGCAGAACTGCAGAAATAAAGCGAGCGATTCCCGCCGTCTTTTTAAAAAAGCTGCCCGGTCGCGTGACGTCACGGAGCGCCATCCAATAGGTGGGCGGGAATCCGGGACACGTGACTGGGCTACGCCGCTCCCATTTTAAAGCGCTGAAACGCTTCCATGGTAACGGCAGTGGACGAGTGCGCGATTTATTCACCGATGACGTCACGCGCGGAAATGGAGGCAAAAGGGACGGAAGCGGATTCATTCAAAACGGCGCGAAGCTTAAGCAGCTGTTCACAAACCTTTACAAGAGCATTTATTACAGTTACTAAACAGTTATGCGGCGCATTTAGTCACACAAGCAGCTCTTATATACCGTATAAACAGGGTTTTTATGAGGATTTAGAGGAAGCACGCGTTATTCAAAGCCTACACAATATTATTTCCACTGACAAACTAATATAAGAAGTTGAGAGAGCTTGAAATAGTAAGAACGAGAAAGCTGTAAAATACAGTCTATTGTTGAAAAGCTGGTCCTCTGATTAGGGCCCATATGAAATCCTTTTTATTTTTTCCCAAATTCAGTTTTCCAGTCAAAAATGACCAAATAACAGCAGCGGGTTAATATATGTGTATTATTGTGAGTGTGGTTCATTAGTTCCAGGATGAGCTGATGGACGGCCAGATGAAGGTGTTCGGAGTGTTCATCTGTGCTTCAGAACAGCATTGATTGATTGATTGATTATTATGAATATTTAGATCAGATCAGTAGGCTAACGGGTCCTGAAGAACATATGCTAGAAAACACTGATCGTACAGAAACTGCTCTGGCAAATACTGCTTTCTCGTGTGTATCGTGAACTGCTTACACATGAATAATGCTGTTCGTTTTGCATGAGGATATGTACATTTACAGTATATGTTTTCATCTTTTAGTTGTCATATACTTATGTACAGGGTTATATATCGTGGTGGGGACCTGACTACACACAGACTCATGGGGACTCGTGTCACGGTGGGGACCTACATTGTGGTCCCCACGGGTACAAAAGCTTATAAATCACACAGAATTAAGGTTTTTGAAAATCTAAAAATGCAGAAAGTTTCCTGTGAGGGGTAGGTTTAGGGTGGGCGGGGTTTGAGAGGCGGACTCGTCTGGCTCTTGTCCAATCAGAGCCGGGGGGCGTGTCTACATCTGATCCACTCGCTGAGTGTGTGAGACTGACTGAAGACTAATAACTCCACAATAACTTCACTTCTCACCATCACAAGAACTCATCTATTGTCAGTGTAAACTGACCATTTCAACCAGCTTTTATTACCGCTGTATCAGTATCTGAAATCCTCTGATAAACTGATTTACGATGTGAGGAATGTTTTCTATCACAGTTTAACGTCAGGTCCTATTGGCTCATCATGAGTCTGTTAGATGTGTCATGAATTCAGAAACTACTGATTATGAAGGTCCTGAATATGTCATTTTATGATGTCATTGTAGTTCTCCACACGTTTGTTTATAAGTTAACCAGTCTAGTTTGAAGAATGATTGTGTGTGTGAGGTGTGTTATATATTTGTGTGTGTGTGTTTGTACCTACTTCATCATATTTCAAGGACAAATGTGTACTCAGAAGGGAGCTAAACCTGAAATTGGTATAAAATGTGGTAAATAAAGTTCTTTTAGTTTTGTGTTGGGGTGAGTCTGTAGCTGTGTGTCAGAACAGTGGCAGTCTATGCAGATCATCCTCTGTGCTCCTGCTGTGATGAACACTCATTGTTTCTCACGCTGATGTCAGGATTCTCCATCAGTCTGGACTGATCAGTGATTGTTCTCTAGATGGAGTCCTTCGGCGCTGGACGCTCTCGGTCTCCGGGGGCTTCGGGATCGTTTGGGGTCAGAGGGCAGGTCCAGAGCATCTCCGGCCGGCCGCATGTGGTCCTGAGCGCTCAGGCCAGACCCGAGCATCCAGACGTCTTCCTCACGGAGCCTCGGCGGCAGGAGTCTGTGTCCAGCCCTCGGTCGGATCATTACTCAGGAGCCCGGCGGTCCAGCAGAGGAGCCCTGAGATCCTCAGCAGACACAGCCCTTCCTCACCTGTGATCCCGGGGCCCGGGGCCCGGAGTCCAGGAGCCGTCGGTGGAGAGCCTTCCCTGCAGGACGTCTGCACCCGTCTCTGAGACACACGACGCCGGATCCCCTCGCAGCCGAGTCCGACCCGAGGACGAGAGGCGCTCCAGAAGTCTGGAGTACAGGTAGGGCCACAGAAATATCACCATGTGTGTTATACATCATCTGAAAGCTGAATAAACAAGCTTTCCATTGATGTATGGTTTGTTAGGATAGGACAATATTTGGCTGAGATACAACTATTTGAAAATCTGGAATCTGAGGGTGCAAAAACATCTAAATATTGAGAAAATCATCTTTAAAGTTGTCCAAATGAAGTTCTTAGCAATGCATATTACTAATCAAACATTAAGTGTTGATATATTTACAGTAGGACATTTACAGAATATCTTCATGAACATGATCTTTACTTAATATCCTAATGATTTTTGGCATAAAAGAAAAATCTATAATTCTGACCCATACAATGTGTTTTTGGCTATTGCTACAAATATACCCCAGCGACTTAAGACTGCTTTTGTGCTGCAGAGTCACATATAACTTTTCATATCAGTATCGATAATTCTCACGATAAATGTAAAATCTTCATTTCTTTTAAGTTTAAAGGCAGATTTTTGCTCCTAAGTGAAAGTTGTAGAAACCAGACTGTTAATGGTAGTTTTAAACCACTCTTTATTGTCAGGCATGACAAACACTTCATGTTTGTTTTTAAATCTTTACACTTTTCTAGTGAATATCTTAATAGAAAAATCGATTTCATAGTATCTCTGCTTGTTCTAATAAGTGACATTGTTTCAAATCATGAAGCAGGTTTATGTTGCCTGGCTTTAATGACGCTTATCTTCAGCACAGTTTGCAGTGCAGGCTGCAGTATTGATAATAATACACGTGTTTGTCTCTTAGAAATGCACATTTGGCAGTAGCTTGAGCTGAGTTAAAACCACACATAGAGCACCTCAATACCATGGTAAAAATGTAACTATGTAACTAGAAACTACGGTTTTTAGGTATTTGTATGAAAGACAGTAATCTAAATAAATTTGTATTAATGCAGGAACCGCTAAACTGGTGATGGTTAACTACCTAAAAGACGGGTAAGAACCAACTGCTTTAGGGAAAATGTTTCTGCTTCACGTACAGAAATCTGTGAGTCTGTTACATGCACATGAGAAACGCATGGGATTCTGTTGAAATAAAATACTGTAGTATAGTCAGAGTTGGGAGGATTGCTTTGGAAATGTAACGGGTTACAGATTACAAGTTACCCTGTTTAAGATGTAATGAGTGCAACTATTTCAATTACTTTATTAATGTAATGTAACTGATTACATTTGATTACTTTTCTAAATTTCTAATGTTTTCGACTGGTAATAATTTTGAAACATTTAAAGCATGCGTGAGAAATTATTCAGATGTAACCCCTTTTTAATCGTTAACATTTTCATAAGTAACTGTAATTTAATTACACATTTTTCTCAGTAACTGTTACTGAATACGATTACTTTTATTTTGTAATTTAATTACATGATTTAGTGACAGGTAACTAGTAGCTTCCCAACACTGAGTATATGAATATGATAATCATTCAGCATTACACTACATGCCATATATTAGATATTATGATACAAAAGTCTCAAGCGTTCTCCTGAAACGTCCCAGAAAGCACTGCTCCTCCTCGTTCCTCTCTTAGCGAGGTGTTTGTTCAGCTGGATGACTGTAGATGTGCTTCAGACTCTGTTTGTCCTCCATCTCCGCACATCAGATGAACCTGAGGGAGAACTGAGTTTATTCCTGATGCTGAGGAACCAGAGTGACGGTTTGAACTAAAACCGGTAGTTCAGCTAGTTTGTCATCATTTACTCGGCCTCATGTTGCTCCAAACCTGCAGGACTTTATTTGTTCTGCCTCAGAAGAAATAAACACAGATGTGCTGACGCTCCAGAAAAGGTGATTCAAAGTCAAACCAGCTTTCTGTCACCAAATGAAGTTATTGTTCAGCCGGTTTGGAGTGAGTGTAAATGACTTTAGCTGTGTCTCTGCAGCTGGTTTCACTCAGGTCCTGTGAGGGTGAAGCTGTTATCAGGCGGAGGGTGGAGCTGATGTTTGACCAGATCCACATGCTGAAGTTCAGAGCGCTGGAGGAGGTGAGCAGACATTTACCACAGTAACCCCGAGCTTCCATCAAAGTACAGCTGCTCTTACTGAATATGGGTTCTGTGTTTGCAAACAGTGTTTTTACTCCTTAAAATGCAAAAAACTAATGAAATGTGAAATGAAACAAGCAGACAACATAAAGCAAATCAATATGTAATGAAATGTTGCAATCAATAAATATAAGCATAATTAAATAGATTTATTTGCGTTTCATTGTATTTTATTTCATCATGCCATGACATATTTTAAAGTTTCATTATAAATATTTATTTAATCTAGTGTGTTAAATCACTCCATATGCTAGTCCTGTGGTTATCGTTTGTGAGTTGTTCCAGTAATCGGTGCTCGACTGATTGGTGCGTGTTGAATAGTTGGAGTTTGCAGCTCCTCTGGAGGAGGTGAATGATCTTAAGGACAGAAGTGCGGCGCTAGAGAGACACGTCAGTCACTTACAGCAGCAGCTGCAGGAAGCCCAGAAGGTGATTGGATCAGATATGAGCACAGTCAGTCAGTTTGTGTCCCGTCTGACGTCATCCGTGTCTCTGCAGAACAATGAGAGTTTGTCTGAGCAGAAAGAGCAGAGAAACGCCGAGCTGAAGAGACTGCAGGAGACGCTAGAGAGGAGCGAACAGGAGCAGATCACACTCCGCCACAAACTGCAGACCTCACTGGACCAGTGAGTGGAGATCACACACACACACACACACACACACGCACACACACACACACACACACACACGCACACACACACACACACACACACACGCAC